AAAAAAGCCTGGCCTACTAATGAAAAAATGGTCAATTCAAAAATTTAGAAGCAGGCAATGCAGTTTATTTTGGCAATACTGATACTATACACATATCTTAGCTAATTAAATTTTAACATTTCTTCCATAAATGAGAACAATTTATTCTAAATAATTGGTAAATTTTTTTACTTCTCCCAATGCAGTGATAAAGTGATCATCCTGAATATAGTGAAAGTAAAGAGATCCAAATAGAGATCTACCATGTATACTAGCAAATAGGTTGCACTAGTAGATAAGTAATACCTTTAGTTTAGGGTTGTCAAAGTGGGTATTTGTGATTGACTTGCAGATAGATCACACTATAATCTGGGGAGTTACATGGCCCTTTTTTAACATAAATATAACTAATATTTGTTAAATAATATTTCTGAAACTCCAAACTCTCTTTCTGCACATCTGTTTCCATTCTCTTCTGTATAATCCACCAATTTAAACTTAAAACCTACATCATAACTATTTCTCTTACTCATGATTAGGGTTTACAATTATTAAAATCTGTAAACTACCAGTAAAAATCAGGATGAATCGACCTTTTGTATATTGGTAAATGACTACTCACCCTAAATAACTGTAAGCAAAATTGTGATTGGTTGTAATGACATGGTATTTACTTATCAAGTGCAAAGCTGCTGTTTAGGCAAAAATTTAGACACTGGTAATTGCTTCAATCCTAAAATCACTTGAAAATGACAGTCTTTCATCATAAATCAGATAATAAATGGTAAAAATGAGCAGTGCTGATTGAATGCTTTTATTCGATGTGTGACACAGTAGTGTTGGAAGAGGCAATTACATAAAACTGAAATGTCTGGAAAAATTCATTTTCTCCCTTGCTCTCACTTATGCTTGAATCCAGGGTACTTGCCTGGACCACTGATACACCACAGTCTAATTCAGATTCTCTATGATGTTGAGTGGATAGGTTGCACTCCTGATTTTTATTGAAATTTTGCTGAAAAAAGTGTGACCTATTCTGGACTATATACAGTAGTTTCTAGGAATGCCAACTAAAGGTTTAAGCTGTTTTTTCCAGGTAAAAGTATTAAGGAAGAGCAGATGGTTAATAGAAAGCTAAGATTTGCGTGTGTGCGAATTTCAATTAATGTATTCTTATACAAGGTTCATGCGCATAGACATACATTTGCATGAGAAGAGAAATATCTTTATATAATTCATTTTGAAAAATATGTAAGAGATTTTGAATAAATACAAATTAATCATGCTCTGATTATTAAATATTTTAACAATTCCTATTAATATTTTAACAATTACCATTAATATTTAAAAGTTCAATTTGTTAATTGTAGATTTTCTGTGACAAAGATCAAATCATAGTCTCTGGTTTATCTAATTTTTATTAATTTCAATAGTAGAAAGCTCTGAATTCTTGACAAAGAGAACAAGTCATTTCTTAAATTTAGTGAAAATTCAATTTAGTAGAGAAGATATAGGTCAACATTTTATTGACAATATTTCATAAGCATAAATTCCCTAAAGTTAAGATGGGATAAATCATTAAACTGGGTGGTTGTAAATTAGTAATGTTTAAGCTTCACAAAACTATTTGTAAAATAAAAACTAACACGTTAAAGAAAATAGTGGAAAAGTTCTTGCATGCCTTCTACAAGGCTTTCAATATAACATACTTCCCAATCTACTGTCAACAGTAGATTATCTATAAACTTATTATATTATATAAAAATAAAGCTTTTCTTTATTTTATCTTATAAAGAGAATTTTTAATGATGACCAACTGCAAGAAAAGCTTGGCAAAACAGGCATTGATATTAATTAAAAATAAATAAATAGCTAATAAAATGTTACTATTATTATTGATGACCAATTCAGATCTGGTATATAATTCATTAAAAAGACAATAGGATCTATTTATTGAACAAACCCCCCCCAAAAAAAAACATGTAAATGTACTTTCATACATTACAATTTTAACTTTAAACAACTAATTATACGTATATTAATAGTAAAAATACTAAAAACTTTAAAGCTTTCATTGCATATATGATTAGTCAATAAATACTACTGAACATTGGTATCCTCATCTTGTTTCAAAGTTGGTCTTATTGGAAAGCAGAATACTGAAACAGCAGTAAATTACACAGTGATTCAAAAGCTATGAGCATTTAAATTTAATTGATTTTTATATATATGTTACACAAAAAAGATGTGATGAAAACAGTAAAGACTGCATAAAACATGATTGTTATTTGTAATGTACTGTAATCAAATTAAAAATGTAATAATTATTTATTTATACATGCCTAGTATACGTAAAATGTAATGTAAGGATTATTTATATATGAATCAAAACTATCACACATCTCTGACCACTTCCATTTCAGAACAGAGTCTATTATCTGTGCACTAAATTTCTTAAAAATATTTAACTGAGTTTATAATGATATAAGTGGACAATATTGCATTTTACTTGCAATCTACATTCCACTTATAAAATCATGTAAACAAGTTGTTTGTCATGATCTATGTGGTTCATTTTATCAATTAGATTCTTAATATCTATAAGAACCAAAATTTATTTTTAAAAAATGTTTAAATGAACTAAAGATTTTTCTTTAACAGTCACCTACTAATCACTTTTTAGATGACTGTCAATGCACCTACTGTTACTAGCTAGAATTAGAATTGTTAATTCTACATGTTTGTGTTGAAAGTTTATTTTTGAGCATTGAAAAAACAACAAACTTACTGTTATTTAAATTTTCTATTTTAATTATATAAATTGAAGTAGTATTTCTGGGATGGTATGAACAGATACAAGCTGTAAAATTATGATTGTGAACAAAAATAGGTAAACTTACAACATTGGTAAAATTGGATTAGGGATCATTACCTTTGCTCTAGCATAAACTATTATGAACTATCACAGTATGTGTATTTGGGGATAATAAGTTTTGAATCTCTTTGAAATGATATCACAAGCAAATTCTTTGAGGAAGTTGAGTTTCAGCCCTTAATTTTTTTTATTACACAGTACACTTTAAAGTCTAAAAATACAATTAAATTTAAAAATTGATTAATTTATAATGAACAAGTGCATTTTATTGAAATCAGTTATAAATATTCACCAAAATTGCTTAGAGGAAACTAAACCTTTGCAACTGTAAAGATTTTAAACTACTTTCCAATAATTGCAATATTGTGGATAAAGTATTTTATGAATTTATTAGGCACTCTCCTTTGTCATAAGTAGTTTGCAATATTTAAATTGCAGTGACTTTAATTTTAAATTGCTGCAAATATTATTCATTTGATTACTGAATAATACTAGATTTTTAAAGAGAAATTTTTCTTCTAGGTTGAAATAGGTAATGTTGTAAATACATAGAAAATATATGCTTTAACAAGTCATCATGCTATCAAGTCAAATCAATTTCAATTAAATAATTTCTAACTTAACAGATATTTAAAATAAAGTCAGAGATTATGCTTTCTAACAATACCTAATTTATTTATGTATGAAGAGTATTTCACTATGAAAATTGATAATTTCAGATTTGGGTATGTTGTAAATGAAAGTAAAATGTTTTTATTTCAGTAACTTTTGGTTGAATTTTATATACTGATATTGGTTTATATTTTATATACTAATATTGGCCTATTATTTATTTTTGCAAACAGCTTGTCAACTTTTAAAAAATTATTTTTTTTGTTTGCATCTACATTAAATCAGATTTATTAAAGATGATAATTATTAATCAATCAAATTTCAATTGTAAACTTGCATTTTTCAAAGTCTGCTTGATTATATATATATATATATATATATATATATATATATATATATATATATATATATATATATATATATAAAAAAAACTTGTCCTTTCATACAAGGCTCTAATTGCAATTGTATTAAGCTTGTTTCTTTTCCTTGTCAGAAATGACTTAGATTAATGCATAGCTTATACACCAATCAACTAGAAAATCACTAATCACAGACTGATACACACAATCATCTATCAACTTTAGGGTATGAACATCTTTTGCTATTAACATCTTTGACATTTAGTTCTTGAGAGAAAATTGAAACTATACTAAAAAACAAATTCCCCAATAATACTGTCATGTTAAAATGGAAAACGTTTGAGATATAAGTTTCTGATATAAATTTATTTTTTGAAAAATCAAGTCAATAATCCATTTCTTTAAGTAATTTTAATCTACCTGTATTAATTGAATGAATGCATTTCACTATGAAACTTGATAATTTAACCTTTCCGTTTACAAGGGAGCTACTAAAGACTAAAGTTTTTCATTGTCAGGTGATAGTTTTTTTTACCTTTGTTAGTCCAGCTGAAGCAAAAAGCAGTATATTAGAAGTCAAGTTTATCAACAGAACATTATTGTAGCAGTGTTTGTCCAAGTGAGTATGTTCAAGAATACGAACTACAAAAAAATGTGAGTATAGGCAAAAAACCCCAGAAATCCTGATAATTAAGTCCTTCCAGCATGAAAAAGTGTGTAAATAAGAGCATGTACCGGGGAGATTCAATACATTTCTGAAAAATATTTATATAAATATGCATAAAAATATTTTCTTTTTTGAAAAAAGAATTTCCGCTTTCCTGTGTTCTAGTGGTTTTTATATGAAAGCCAAACCTCATATAGACATGAGGCTAAGTTCATTGAACATCATGAACATTGCTGTTCATACTTGGAGAAGAAATGGTTAAGACTAAATGAAGAGAGAGACTTGTGCACTAATTTATTGAACCACCCAGGTACAAGGAAAAAAATATGATGAAACTGAAATTTGTAGAACATGTTTATAGGCATGCATTTTTGTCAAAGTTTTTTGTTAAATGTGCACCACCAACAGCTGATGAAATAGGTTTGTAATAAATTATGGACAGTTGTGTAAAACAAGGTAAAATGCTTGGTCATCAGGATGATCTTTTTTTGTTTGATTTATCACTCACTGGTCAAGACTATGTCACGAATTCCAGCTGTTTGTTCTGTTCAGATGCAGCACAATGCTGTGGTTGTTGCTGCCATGTCTGCTGCTGTGGATGGGAAATGGCCACCTAGCATCAAGATGTCCAAGATGAGTATCGGCTTCGAATCTGGGCTCTCAACTGGCCAGTCAACAAACAGTAGCCCTTTGAGTAGCTCCCAACACGTGGCTTTTTTGGCAGTGTAATAAAGATGCACCGTCTGCCTGCAGAAAATAGAAAAAAAATTGTCCAGTATCAGATTACCTTGTTGGAACAATTGAAGTAGACCTTTCTCCTGTAGGTAGATGTGAGGCATCTGTGTTCAGGCTTTTCATGCTGGTTGAGAGACCATTCATCTAATGGTGGCTGGTAAGCAGTATGTTCAGAGATGAGTTATCTTGAAAGATTGTGTGTGCAATAATGTACACAAAATTCCAGTTTTTCCCTCTGTTGTGGTTTTGAAAATTCGTGAAGAAATACAAGTAAGATTGTCCCAAGAGTATAGCAGCAAAAACAAAGCTGAAAAATGTTCTTAAGAAAAAAGGAAGGAGAAGGGAAACAAAAGGATGTTTTTCAAGATTTTTAAGAAAAATATCCAGTGGTGAAGATGTTTACTAACAATCTGTTATTGCAAATATTACTATCAGCTTTTGGTGCACATTTAACTAAGAACTTAACAAAGGAGCTTGACGCTAACACACTCACAGTACACAGCAACATACAAACATTACTGACAATAACATTTCAATCACAAACAAGACAACTTTTATGAGAAATACTTTTTTTCTAATTTCTTAAGCAATTTTTCTGCATTTTTGCTTCATAAATAAATAAATAAATGAACATATGATGAAAAGCAAATGCAAATAAATCAGGATAAAAATTATAGCAATTTTCTTATTTTATAAATTCAAAGCTTTCTTTTAATGAGAAATACACTCTTCAAAAACATAGTTGTAATAAATTATTCATTTTTCCTGCCAGTCCTAACCCTGGGAAAAAAGGTTAGGACTTTGTTGTTCTATCATTAATACAAAAGTTTTATTACTTTTAGTGGAAACAAAACAAAAAAAATAAAAAATTCAAGTATATGCTGAAAAGAACTTAGCCCAAACAAAAAAAGGATTAAAGGCCAGTGAGAAAAAAAAAGTCTGAAGATTTTGAAGATGGCAATTGATAAATTAGAAGTTGTGTAAAGGTGAAATTAAATAAAAACAAGTGGCTCTTAATTTCAGATTGAGTACTAATTACTCTTATTATGAATTGAAACTACTGCAAGTGAGATTTCAGAAAATACAGAAAATTTAAAAGCATAATAATTTCAACTGTACATTTTTAATGTTATTTGTATAGAATTAAACAGTTGTAAAAATATACCGTTTATATATGAAGTAGTGCAGAAATGTTCTCAGCCCAACCCACTTCTCAAAATCTGACTATTTTTTTGTGTGAAAAACCCTCATCAGGCCAAGAATTTTTCAACACACTTTTGTATTGTTATATTTTGCTATATATAAAAAATCATTTTAGCTTCTTAAGGTGTAAGAATAAAACCAGTATAAAAAACTTAGAAAATTCAGCAAAATAATTGCTATGTAAATAAATAAATAATGAAGGAATAGCCACAAATCATTGTCTAAAAACCAAGAATTTACAATTTATCTACAATAAATTAAATGAAAAATATATCTGAGGAGTGTATCTCTCATATATTTGTTATTTCATTTAAAGAGAGGAAAAAATTTTCTAATAGCCTCATCATCTTTCCTTTGATGGACTTATCCTAAAACATGCAGAAACTCTCTAATTTGAGAGCTGAATAGAATTGCTGTGTATTTACCATTCAATCATCAGCATCCGATTTAAGCAGTCTTCCCCACAGGCTTCAATTCCTTGCTCTCGGTCTTCATGAGATGTTGTACAATCGCAGACCATGCGACGCACTTCTCGCATTTGTTTGGATCTTTTTCTAAGATTTAAAAAAAGAAAAAAAAAAAAAAAAAAAAAAAAGAGTCAATTCAAGTAGATATATTGATATAAATATAACAAAATCCCAAAAACCTTTTATATAATTAATTTATTTTACAGAGCAGAAAAGTATTTCTTATTATGAAAATGTTATTTCTTATGCAGGTTTTAAAATCAAAGGAAAAAAAATTGTGCATATTTGTGGCATTAACATATTCATGTGATCAAATAAAGATGTAAATATTTTCTTGTATACAAAACAAAAAATGCCTATCTAAGTCATTAAGTTCAATTATATTACTTAGATTAAACTACTGTTTGAACACACACACACACATATATATATATATATATATATAAAGAGAAAGAACAGATAGAGTTAGAATCCACAGTTCTTAGCATTTACTTTTTAAAAAGTGCTCAATACAAACGTAGAGTAAAATTTACATTGCTACACAAAAACTTTCATGTTTTGGAACTTTAATCATTCCTCATCAGGTGATTGTAGATTACATATAATACAAATGATTTATTTGGGAAATTTAAAAACAAAAATCGTTACTTCTTTTGAGAATTAAAAAGGGGATGAGAGCCCAATGTCAATTAAAACATATACTTGTGGGCATGTATATGTTTTAATTCTGACATTAACCACCCCCCATTTTTTTTTAACTTTCAAGAGGTTAAGGATTTGTTTTTAAATCTCCCAAATAAATCAATTGTATTATATGCAATCTACCATTGCCCGATGAGGAACGATTATAGTTCCAAAACATGAAAGTTTTTGTGTAGTGACGTAAAATATTTTTTATTGTAATCTATTATAATAAAAATATTTTATCATATATATATGTATATATGTGTGTGTGTGTGTGTGTGTTACACACACACACACACAGTTGATAGTTACAAATCTAACAGCCATATTTGATGGTGCTATTTAATACTGATACTAAGTTATCAGATACATGTGTACATAGTTTATACATTTTTGTTATCAATTGCAATAGATAAACCACCTTAGGAAAATTGAGAAAATGTCACAAAGATGGTTGTCAAATAATTTGATTTGAATATAAAAACTTTTCAGTATGAGTAAAAATATTAATAAAAAAAGTTTAAAGTAGATCAATTTAAGTTCAACTCTGAATAAAAAATTATGTTTCATATTTGTACAGTCAAATACTAAGCAGATATGATATTCCTCAAATTTTGGGAGAAAGAAATGTTCCATTTTTGACTATATTTTTCTTTGCATTTTCTTTCAAACAGTCTTGTACAAGCAAAATTATAAAATGTTTGTCTGATTTGAGACTCTAAAAAAAGATTTTAAAAGGAGAGGAGGGGAAAAAAATCAACCATCAGAGAAAAAAAAATTCCATATTATACTTTCATAGGTTTTATTTGTCTGTATAACAACAACTGAAGTGTAACAACAAAGCCAACAGAATATCTATGTTGTTAGATTTCAGTAATCCTTATTAACCTCTACTGTTGATAACAATGGTAAAAAGTCATAACTTTCATTAGAGAAATGTCTGGATGAAGGATGAACATTGAAAATATAGTGACTTTTTTATGCTGAAATTCATTTCAAAAGAGTCACTGCATACATACAAATGCACTGCTAGATCAATCATGGCAAGCCATTGTCCACTTCTCAAGAAACAACCCACACTTTGTGTTTTCTGTACTAAGAGTGAGCTAACAAAAACAAAGTTTCTGGCTCAAAAGACTTGTTTGAGCAACAATGAATCCTCACATTCCAGTATGCTTACCTATGCAGTGTGTGTGTGTCTCTCTCTCTTACACATGCACACAAAATTTTGTTTGTAATAAAAAAGTTTTAACCTACAGTGTAGCTACAATGACAAAATAAAAATAAAATGAAGAGTGGTAATTAAAGAAAATTTATTTCATGGTCAAATTCAGATGTATTTAAAAAAAAATTAAAAAAATACTTAAACCTGTTTGCTGACATGAGACAGCTTGATATTAGTAAGTTGACAGCTTAGTATCATCGACAAAATAACTTGTCTTACAAGTGTTATTCTTTTACAAGATGACAGCATCTTGTACAAACAAAGAACATTTGAATATTTACTGGTGATATAACAATTTGTGAATCTTCACAACTTTGTACCTTATATGTAGATCAATGTTTGATATTTTTTAAATGATGAAAACATTTATGCATATATTATGAGATGTTTTGATGTAAACATTAACTGATTTGTATAAAAATTCATTTATAATATACAAAACTTTCTATTGACATCAATTAAAAAAAAACAAAAAAACACCACTACCCCGATGGATAAAATTATATTGAATAGGTTAAATTATGTAACTTAACAACAGTACAGTTAGTAAACAAGTAAAAGAAAACTAATTTTTAACAGAAAATTATGAAATCTTTTGAATTTGAAGATGTTCATTAAGTGAATCTATTTATGTGCATCAACACATTAAATATATAATAGTTCTGGAAATTGAAGTAGAAATTACAGTAGCCTTTAAATATAATATTACTCTTGCTTTGAATATCTTTTGTCAGCTATTTTAGTGTCATCTTTACACAAGAAAATCATTATGAAGATGACATTTAAAATAACTGACAAAAGATATTAAAAGCAAGAGTAATATTATAGTTACAGGCTACTGTAATTTCTACTTCAATTTTCAGAACTATTATATATTTATTTAATGTGCTTTACCTTTGTGAAAACATAAACATAAACAAAAGAACAAATTCCTTTCACATGCAAAAAATATGCAAATGTGACATAGCAGCATTTTGAGTGTATCTTTCAAAGTTAGAGGAGGAATCCAAAATTTGCAGGTGTACTTACTAAATTTAGTTTGTTATAGAATAATGAAATTATATTCAAGATATGAGAGTCACTCCAAAAATAATGCCTCCTATTTTATGGCCTATGACAGCAGAGGCTGAATCTTCCTGCCATTACATTAATAACCCATAGGTTTTTTTTTTTGCTTTTTTCACCAGTAGTAACTGGGCAGCAGTCTGGCAAAATGGAATCTGATATGAAAATACACACAAAGCTGGAAAAAATTGCTGAATGTTTATGGAGACCAAACTGAACGTAATCACAGTTATGTAAAGGATAATGTGTTACAGCATTGGCAACAGTAATGTGTATGACACACCACATTCTAGGTAGCGCTGTATAACTGGCAAAACAAAACATTTTTTTTTCTTTTAATCACTGGTGAAAATACATAGCCAATGATGGTAACAATGTGAAAAAGATAGCATTTTGCAGTGGAAACTCATTCTATCCAAGTGTTATTGAGTGCTCTGTTGTGGAAATAAATAGAAAGTATTATTTTCAGAGTGTATCTCGCAAATATGGATTTGAATTTGTTTCTAGTTGAGTGATTGTAGAAATGATACAGCTGATACATCAAGATAATATCAAGTAATTAAATTAGCATTAAAATTCATAGACTTTGGGAGCCAAAGGAAAACAAAGTTCAAGATAAAAAGTAACAACTACAAAACTATTCTCAAGATCAATGAAGTTGTTTGGAAAAATGAATTTTACTTGCTTTATTTAAGACAAGTTCATATTTGTTTTTGAGTAAATATGAAAACAAATGTTCAATAATTTTTAACACACATGCCCTAATTACATTTTTTAGCAATTTTAACTTTTTGCATATGTACGTGAACACAGAGGTCAAACACCGAGTGGTGACAGTCTGTTTTATGCTTGAATGCAATCTTCAGTTCATGGAGATTGTTAAAAGTAAACTATTGCCACTGAGTGTTGACCTACATATGCACTTTTAGATTTATACATGTTCTATCTATAAGTACTTGTTACCTATAAATATAGCGTACCTTAAAAAGTATATATTTATATACGAAAAAAAAAAAAAAAAAAAAAAAGGTTTAATATATTTGTATATTAGCTCACCTTTCTGCTAGATAAATATTATCCACAATTTCTTCATAAGACCCACTGTTTTCCTTGTCAGCTTCACTGTCTGGTCGCACCTGCACATCTTTAATGGATGCAGACAGAGTGTCCCTGGCTACATCTGTGCCTGCATCCCTTTTCTTGTCTTCATCCTCTTCCAGAATGGTTTCAAATGCAGGCTTTTGCAGGTAAGATTTACGTGGATCTTCATTTACAATGCTACTGATAGTCTTGGCAGTTATAGGCAAGTCCTCAGGGCCCTGGAATGTTGATGAGACCACAGGTTGTGGTTTCTGTTGTGGAGACAACTGGGACGAGGATATCTGGATGGATGGTTGTAATTGCGGAGATGAAGGTCTTGGTGTTTGCTGTTGTGGTTGTGTTGGGTATATATTTGCCTGTGAAGGTAAAGGAACATTATCGGACATTTGTGGAGTGTATGATGAAAGGGATGAAGATGTAGACAATGGCTGCAATGTTGATGCTGCAGATGAAGATGATAATGTGACTGTGGATGGAGATAATTGTGGAGATGGTGTATTTGAAGTGACAACACTTGTAACTGTAGAAACACTGGGTGTACCAGAGGTATTAGGGGATATGCTAGCACTAGCTGAGAGCCACTCTGCTTCCATAGTTCTTCTCCACCTTGATTTAACTTTGAGGGGACGTACTGACATCAGAGGATCTTCTTTTTTTGGTTCCCGCACGACTGACTGATCAGGTGTTGCAGGACTAACCACAGATGTTTCTTTTTGAACCAGCAAAGAACTTTGGGACTGACCTACTCCTGGACAGCTGATCATAAGGTGGGTTCTTTTAATTTGGTGTGAAGGTAATGACTGCCCAGACACTGCTACTGATGTAGATGATAAATCTGTGCTTGATAAATTGCTCTCTCCTGAACTATATTTTTGAGTTTGGCTCTCGATCTCGCCCTGTTTTCCTTCTGTCTCCATTTTGGTTTCGTTTGCCTTCAATTTATCTGCTTCAATTTGCTTCTTGTTACGTGTCAGTCGTTTGGGCTTTTCCTTGATGCTCTCATTTACCTTTTTGTCTTCCTTTGCTGACGACTTTGGCCCATTGTCTCGTTTCTTTCTGTCTGCCTCTTCCTTTTGCTCATCTTCCTCTTTGTTCGAGAAACGAGTGCGTGTGCGTCGACTTTCACGCTCCTTCTTCTCAACTTCTTTCTTTTCTTCATTCTCTTTTGCAGACATTTCTTCTTTTACTATAGCAGTTGCTGTGTCGTCAGCAGTGTGTTCTTCAGGAGCAGGTTTATCCTTCTCTTCTCCTTCAGCCTTCGTGTCTTGCCTTTTCTCCTTTTTTGTCTTGCAGTCTTTTTCTTTCTTCTCTTCTTTCTCCCTCACTCTCTTCTCTTCCAATGATCGGATTCGTCCGCTTCTTCTTGGTGCTGGAATGCCAGAAGAAACACGAGTATTGCTTTCATTCTTCTTTGTCCCCTTCAAAGACTTCTGACTAGAAACAGACTCAGTGTCTTCATCTTTACAACCATCTTCATCCTTGATACTGGTTTCTGGTGAAGTGGGCTTTGAACTTACAATGCTGTCTCTATCTTCTTTTGAATTCAACTCCAAAGTGTCATCACCTTTAGCCTGCGAGGGTGTAACATCATCACTTCCTGCACTATCTTGTCCCTCTCTCAGTTTTTCTGAGGTTGTTGCTTTAGCTTGGTCATCTTCAGGCAATAATTCTTCTTGGTTGGATTTACTGCCAAGTTCATCAGCATAAAACAATGTTGTTTCTGTCAGTGTTTGAGTGGCACTAGGGGATTTTATCATTTCGTTTCCCTCACTAGACATCTCAGAATCATTACTGCTGGAAATTTGGACCTCTGATTGTCTACTCTCTGCACTATTTTCTATAAGTACAGGCTTAGAAATCTGTTCTGTTGCATCTTCAGCTGTTGCTATGCCACTACTGTTACATGATTGTATTGTGTTCTGGTTACTCAACTGAAAATCACATACTTCAGGTTTTTCTGCGACTATTTCTGCATTTTCAACTGCAGAGTCATTATTTTGTGGAACATCCTCATCAACAACGGTAGCATATGAAACAGTAGAAGGAAAATTGCTAGCAGTCTCTATAGGTTTGCTACATTTGTTTACATGAATGTCTAATTGCAAATTATCTTCCAATTTAATCTGATGCTGTGTTATAGATGTCACTTGATTTTGTGTAGTATGTTCTTTTGAAGAAGACATAGTTAATTCACTTTCTAATGCATGAAGTATTGGCGTTGGTTCTGCATTGTCCCATCTTGTTCTTCCTCGACGCCTACCTTCCTTAGTAGACTTTACTTCGCTGACTTTATTTACAGATGCTTGACTGCTGCTGTTACTGTCATTCTGCTGTGTTACAGATGTGTCCTTTTGCATTTCACTTTTGACTAGAATACTGTCAGGTTGATTCACATGGAACTGTGATTTGCTATGGGGTTTTGTAAAGTTCTCATCAGAAGAACTGACCATAGATGACTGAGAATTCTCTGCAGTTAGACTGCTATCAGTTTGCAGGAAATTGGACTGGGGAACTGCATTAAAATCACAAGCCCCAGACAAATCCTGTAACTTGTCAGACATTTCAGTCTCCTGTGAAGGTTTGGTGGAAATATCCATACAACTATAAGGCTTCTTCAATCTATACTCAGTTGTTGTGACCAGATTCTCTGAATCTTTTACATCTGTATGATCTGGCTGAGGCATTCCGCTAGATGAAATTTCTTGGTCTTTTACAGGGAGAGTAGGAAAACCGGATTCTGAATCTGCTTTCCCTTCTGTCCTGATATAAAAGTTACTTCCAGTAGTGTCCACAGATGGCAGTGGTACAACAGAAGCAGTAGTTTGGAATTCATTAGTGGAAGCTAAAGATTTCTGCAAATGATCTGTACTTTCTGATAAAGTATTTTCCTCAGTTTGAAGTGATTCCTTGTTAACAGATGTGGTATCAGAGTCACAGTAATTTGTTGTTTCAATGTTACAGGAACTTCCTGGTGAATCAACCTCCATAAGTTCTTCATCAAAATTATCTTTTAATCCGACTGTGGAAGCATCCTCACATGATGAATTTTCTTTAGCCTGATTAGTTTTAGCTGTTAACGATTCCTCTTCCTTAAGTGCAGTAGGCAATGATGAAGTTTCAGATAATAAATGCTGAGTATTGATGTTATGAGATGAAGATAATGATACAACTGAAGCGGATAACTGTTGCTTTGACACTGTGCATTCAGAAGAACTGACCTCATCTACATCCAATTTGCTGGCACTTACTTTCTCATTATCATCTGCTGATAAAAATTGCACGTTGGAGCAGAGCTGTTCAGCAGCACCCTGAAAAGGTGGCTCAATCATTGAGACATTCTCTACAACAACATCAACAGAGATGGACTCTCTTATTGGCTCTTGTTTGATGTCTAATACAGATGTGGTTGATGATGATAATGATGGTGGTGGTGGTGGTGTCGCATCTGAAACAAAAAGGTCTACTGATTCCTCACTGGTCTTTGCCTTTACTGTGATATCTTTGTTGTGCAAAGGAAAATACTTGGTATAATCAGTAGTGGAAGCGCCAACAGGTTTCAAAGAAGTGATCTTAGAAGAATTGGCTGTAATCTCTTCTGATTTTTCAAAAACTTGGTTCTGGCTGCTGTTCACTATTAAGGACTGAGAAGATGATTGTGAAATCGTCACTTTGTCTGCTACTGAATATTCAGAAGTAGAAGTAAACTGAGGTAACTGAGCTGAGGTTTTGCTAATAATTTTAGGGTCTTCGGAAGTGTTGAAAGCACCCTGAGAAAACTCAGGAACTGGAACTACAACTTGGAGAGGTGTTGAGTTCTTTTCTAATTCTTCTGCTGCAGCATTAAAGACTACATGAGGCTGAACCAAACTCTTTTGGGGTGAATTGAAATCATTATAGTGTGCAGGTTCTGTTTTAGAATCATATGCAGTTGTTTTCATGTACTGTGTATTGGAAGCAACAGTTGGTGGCAACTGGTTTACAACAGGGGTTGGTGGTATACTAACAGACTCGGAGAATTGTACCTTTTGAACAGCATTTGAACATAAATTTTGATTTACACTTACAATTGATGGTAGATTTTGAGAGCAGATATTAGAAGTCCTACCAAAGCCCTGGGATAAACCATTGCTATGAGAAACCTTAGGAAAGTCCTCCAAAACTGCTGGAATTCGTGTATGCTCTTCAAAGTTTGTATTTGTAATACCAATGTTAATCTGTGTAGGATTATTAATAGTTGTTACTGGGGAGATAGACAGAAGATTAGCAGGCTCCACTCTTTGTTGTACATCAGACAACACGGCAGATGTAGGATAACGTGGGCTGTCTTCAAGAACTGTTGGGATACTTGTACTCCCGGTAAGTCTCTGGCTAACTTCTATGCTTTGTGTTGGTTCAAGGCTGGTGCTCAACCAAGTCACACTGCTTGCAGTTGGTTGATACAATTGACTGAAGTTAGAAAAGGAATTAACAGAAGCAGTATTCTGCGAGAAATTGATCTCATAGTCATTGGGTTCATCACGTACTGGAGTGGAATCACCATAGTTGTATGTACTTCCTTCACATTCATCTATTTTGTTATAATTCTGAGACTGGTTCTCTTGTCCAAACATAGTCAATTGCTTGTTAGTGGCAGTAGCTGAATTTGTACCAGTCACAGAAGATGAGGTGAACTGTAGGTGGTCAAACGATTTACTGCTGTCTATATTGTGTGCAGGTGAACTATCACTATCACTGGCTTGACTATAATGCACACTTATTGCACTAATACCACTGCTTATATTTGATGCTTTACTTCCCAAGTATTGCTGACGACAAGGTGACGTTGTGTCTTCTGATGATTTTAGGCAAGAGTCCAGATCAGATGACCTCTCTTCTGACGAATGCACGCTTCTCCTGCTACGACGATCATAACGATCTGAGTAATTATCATCTGAACGGGAATGCCTATCTTGACCATGAAAAGATTTATCATCATGTCGAGATCGTTTATCATCATGATGCGACCTACTGTAATGATCGTCATCATAGTAATGAGATGCAGACATACGACTTTCATACATGTCTCTTTTATATCTATCAGAACTCCGACCATATCTTCCGTCGTCATATTTGTCATAACTGGATCGTTCATCGTGTCTTTCAGTCCATCGACTTCGCCTGTCCCAAGTATTTGAGCGCCTTTGAGTATTTCTGTAATCGTACAGACCTTCCAACCGATTCTTGGAACGCTCGCATGAAGATCTCTCGGAGCCCTTTTCAGAAATACAACGCTCGTTTGACTTTTCGCGGGAAGACCGCTCATAGGATTTTTCCCGTAAGTATCTATCTCTTGATCTGTCTCGAGTAGAACGTTCACGCGATCTTTCCCTTGTGGATCGTTCTCTTGATTTATCACGATTCGAACGATCTCTATCTCTATTTGAGCGGTCACGAAATCGATCATGCACTAAACGGTCTCTGTTCGACCTTTCATGTGACCTGTCACGTGTTGACCTTTCGTGCGATCTGTCTTGAGTTGATCTATCGCGAGACCTGTCCCAATCACGGCTTCTTTCCTGAGACTTGTCCCTGGTAACTCTTTCATATGAAGATCCTCTAGTTGAACGATCATGAGAACTTTCCCTTCCTGACCTTTCACGTGCTGATTTGTCACGTGGTTTATCAGATGAGGACTTGTTATCATAGAGCCGATCTCTAGTTGATCGTTCATATGACCGATCCTGGCCCAAATGTTCCCGACTTCGGTCGCGTGTGGATTTGCCCCGAAATCTATCAAGTGAAGATAGAGTTTCATAACATTTCTCAGGAGTGTTTCTGCCATGAACTTTTTCACTCACAGACTTTTCACTTGATTTTTCTTTGTGCAAGAGGTCATTTGAGTTCTCATGAATTAAATTATCATTAAACTTTTCAATTGCATAGTTCAGTCGTTCCTGGCCCAAGTCATGCACAGATGGTTCAGAAATTTTATCTGAGGCAGCTTTTTCATTCAAAATGTGTTCTTGAGCTTTATCATGTACAGGTTTCTCGACTTTTTCCCAAACTGAACACTCGGAAAATTTCTCCCCTACTTTACTTACTGCTGTTTTTTCACAAGGTTTTTCATTTGGCTTTTGCAATGGTACAGAATTAAATTCTGGTATTAATGATGATTCTGAAGCAGTTGGTGAGGTTTGTGATTTTTTCTGGACATTTTCTAGCACTTCTAAACTTTTAATGAAAGCAAGCTGTTGAGGAGTCACCGATTCTACTTCAGCTGGCTTGAACATTTCTCTTTTTCTTGTAACAAACTGTCCTGGGTTGCTATTCACAATATCTTCCTCTTCTGCAATTGATTCAGATTTATCGCCAACAATTGGCCTGTTTTTACGTTTGATTTGGAATGAAACTTTTGGCTTGCCACCACCATCAGGTGATTTAAGTGAAAAGCGTATGATTCCACCAGTTTTCTTGCCTGGCTGATGAGAATTTTCAACTACTTTGCGGGAATCTAATGAGGCTGAAAGTGCTTTGAGTGAGTTTTCTGGGTTATCTTTTCTGTCTTCTGAAAATGATGTATCTCTGTCTACATTATCATTATGAATAGTTGAACACTGTGCTATGCTACTATAAGAACCTATACTAGACGTTGGTAAACTTAATATTCCCACTGGTGGTGGTACAGGCATGACAGGTGGAGGAGGTACTGGCGGTACTGGCGTTGGCGGTAATGGTGGCACTGTAGAAACTGATGCCAGAGGCAATGGTAGCGGAGGCGGAACTGGTTGTGGCACTGTGCTAGCTAACTGGGCTACACCACTACCATTTAATGACAAGTCGCTGGATGATGAAAAAGGCAAATGCATCGTTGTTGTCGTTGTTGTTATAGGCAAAGGTGGAGGAGCGGGTGGCAGGGCAATACTAGACACAGTGCTCCCCAAGGGAGGACTGTAGTCATTCATAGTTCGAGGGATACGAGGGGTGTGTGGTTGCCGATGAGATGAATGTGATGTTGATGCCATTGGATCTTCTACAGTGGTTGCAGCAGTAGCTGCAGCAGGTGGAAGTGGTACAGATGAGAGATCGACATTGAAAAGTTGAGCATCAACTGGTTTGGAAACAGACTGGCCATCATGTCCTAACATCACCCTATACATATTACTCTTCTGGACCATATTACCATCTTCCCTGAAATGAAAGAAGAAATAATTGACCAATTAATAGCAACACATATATAGTCAAGCATTTAGACATGTCTAATAATATTGGTTAATATCAACAGACCAATAAATAGAAATTAGAAAAAAATAATAAGCCTTGTTATTTTTTTTTTTAAAACTGTACAAAACAAAAAGTGTTTTCAATATTATTAATAACACAAAATATCTTATTTTGAAGATATTTGACCTTATAAGATAATTCTGGGTGACTTTATCAAGAAGACAATCTTATTTCACTTCTGATTTCTTATCACCAGGCCTAAATTCAGCATGAAATTAATTTTTTTTTTATTTATTTTTTTAGTAAGAAAGGATTAAAATTTTATATATTTAACTTGTAAAATGGTGCAGCCATTCATATCCAAGGATGCAAGTCTACTAGGGTGACTAGCTAATCTCTATTGCAGACACCTGCTCAGGCACATTTGGGTTTGTTCCACATCTACAGGGCCCACCTGTGGTTTATGCTGCAACTATGCTGAGCGAACCTTAGTTACAGTTTCTGGGAGAGAGCACGTTATCTAGTGTGATCAACAGCCTGAACAAGGCCAGCACGCTCAACATGATGATTTATGATTTCATTCTAGCATGACCATTGATGGCTCCCAAGGGTTATGTCTACTCAATTTCACTCACAATGCTTGGGTTAACTCATGGTGTAGCTTTTAGGCAGTTTCCAAAGATGTTTGGATTGCCTCCTCCAGACCAATAACATCAAGAGCTCATCTTGATGTTATTTCAACCATAGTAAGATTCAAACACGGGTCTCATCGTCAGAAAGCAAATGTTTTAACCACTCAAATATGTGCCCATATAAATGTAAATAACCATGTATTGCTATAAAATCATGACTGACGATTCACCAACAATTTATTTTACAAGAGTCGTATTATACTAAAAAATAATTCATAAAAAACATTATAAATATAGAAATCTTTAAGTGTCTTAAATGAAACTCTTAAAAACAATATCTTACCAGCAAGATTCCAAGTAAGTTATCCTTCAATTACAACTAGAAATAAGCACAGAAATCTGCCTAGAGAATTAATTTCTTTTTCAACTTTAAATAGATTGCTTTAAAAACATCTTATATTCAATATTTTAGATATTTTCATTAAACAGTAACACTAAAGCAAAAGTTCTATTTATCTCAGAATTATAGTTTAAATTGAATTATTTTAAAATTAAGGTTATATTTATTTTAGTGAGAAATGTCTGTGGCATTATGTAAAACAGTTTTTATAATTTGTTAAAAGGCCATTTTCTTAAATAGGCCATTCCAATGCCAAATAGTAAAACTAAATGGTAATGTAACACTGAACCCTTAACCCAAATATCTACAATTACAAATGTTTTTGCTCAGACTTTCTACTTCCATTTTTGCACTGTTGAAAACAATGTTAGTCAGATGCTTATTCTAAGAAATATTTTCTTGTTTGAAAAGAATTATTTTTTTATAAAGATCTAAGGAAATAATTAAATACCTATACACCTTGAGCTATTTTTACTTTAAATATTGCCGAAAAGTTTTCATTTTACTCTTCCAATGGAAAAGAAATAGACTATAATCTAGATAAATAAAAAATAAGGAAATTTCATACATGATATAACAATTTCTTTTTTTTATAAAGAATTCTAAGTATTTGTTTTTTATTGTTTGCATAGGTCTCCTGTTTTGACTGTAGAGCATATTTTTATATATTCCAACCTTCAATTTTCTTTTTATTAGTCTGAAGAATTTATGAATGAACATTTTCTGTCAAGTATCTACAAATTTTCAATTAATTACAACAGTAAATATTCTCAGTACAAAATTTAATAGAATCCTTTTATATGGGAGCTGCATTAAATAAGGCTGCTTGTTGACATGAATATTGATGGGTTTCACTTTTTGCTCCCTTATAAATAAAACAGTTATCATGGAAAAATGTAAATCCAAGAAAAACGACAAATTACTATAATTATACCAATTACACTTGCCTTTCAGAAGACAACTCTAAAATGACAGAATTATTCCCAATAAGGAAACGTGTAGACATTTCCTAAGGAATAGTTGTCATCAGGAGAAAGGGTTATCTGAAATTATTTGATAGATTCAAAAATTGCTTTTCATAATCTTGTTATATAAAATGTATTTTTTATTAAGTTTTAGGACAGTGGAAATATTTAAGATTTCTTGATAGAAAAAAATATTACAAAATTAAGTGCTGTCTCCAAAAGTGTTGGAAATAATTATAAAAACACTCCAAAAATATAGCTTGTAAATTTCAATGTTATGTCAAAGATTAACCTACTTGTTATATGCTGGAGGGAGGGGATAAGAATATTGATTTTAAAATCCAGTTTTAACTTTGTGCTCTCAGCACAGTTATATGCATATTTTGAAAAGTAAAAATAAATACAAGACATTATAAACATTTTTAGTTTAAATTAAACATGAAAAAGACAGTAATTAATAATCAGAAGGCTTTCCTTTTAAGATTGTAAAACCTGAGTACATCTGTTTTGCAATGAAGACAACATTTTACAAAGTTTCAAAAATAATTTTGTCCCAGCAGCACATTATGCAAATGATTAAGCTGGCATTCCTTTCAAAATGCCTTCCTTACTCGTAGATGCATTCTTAAAAGTGCACAATTTCTCAATTGGATACTCTTCTACTCAATCCCTCCCTCTGTGACATTGGCATTGTGAATAGTTGTTATCCTGTTGGAATACAAAGTTTCTTCCATAAAGGCAGTCAACATTTATGATAAGACTCTTCTCTAACACTGCCACATGATACTAAATGTTTTGCTTGTTTCCCACCACTTCCACTTCAGCCTGACATTTGGCTGAAAAAGTTTCCCCACACCAGAACAGATCCCCATGCCAAAGGGAAGATTTGGGGAGAGAAAAAAAATTTTTTTTTTTACTCCCTTTCCAAAAATCATACCAACAGCATTGCATTCCACTGAGGCTGTGTAAATTGATCATCCTTACAGTAGAAAACACTACCTTCTTCTATTGTTCCTTTTACTCAAATAGAGAACTTTCTTTCTTAAATGAAATACAAGGCTAGCCAGTTTATTGAGAATTGGCTGGACTCTTCTTGTGATAATAGATCAATTTTATTTCTAGAGGCTCCAAAGGCAAAATTCCACTTTTTTGAAGAAGGCAATGGTGGGAACCAGCTTAGGTGGCCTTCCTGGTTACCTCTTTCTGTTATACATTTTCAAATAAATTGCTAACAACTTTAAATCTGTTCAGTTTTTGTGCAACTACTATTGCTGTTTTCTTCATAACTCAAAATTGTTGTCTTTTCTTTGGTGAGGTTTGTTCAGAAGTCAATTATGAAATCTGATTTCAAATGCCAACTTTATAATAGCCAACTTAAGCAATAAAATAAAATTATGCATTGATTTATAGCTTCAAACAAAGTCTTAACATTGTTTTCACACTAAAAGTATTACTGTGAATGAACTTCTTGTTGGCACCTGCAGATGATTTCGTAAAATACATTTATGCTTTGGTATACATCATCAGTGAACATCTTTAAACATCATACTCCCTCTCTGCAGTGACCCAACCGATACTGATCGGTATCTACTTGTGTACCTTTTGTTAGCTAAAGTTTTCCCATCTTTATAACTACACACTGCGACTCCCCTTAGCAATTTATAGCTCACTCCCAGATAACTTCCAGTTCACCAGCAATTTGTTTCTCCTCACTGAGACATATACACATACGAAAACGCGCTCAAGAATCCATTTCCATTTATGTTAATCATTTATCTGAAGAAAAAAAAAATCCTCCTTTTTTTCTTGACCCTCCCCTCTACACACACACACACACACACACACACACACACACACACACACACACACACCAACATACAAAACATAAATAAAAAAAAATAAAATGAATATAAAAAAAAATATGCTGTAACCCTGGTCGGGAGCAAACAGGTGCTAGATCTTAGCCAGAGATCACCCATAGGTAACAATGGTTCAGGGTACCCTAATTCTGTCCCCTAGTCGAGACTCCATCATTGGGTGTAGTTTTAGGTCATACCCAAGACCAACATCCCCCCACCAAATTAAAAAAAAAAGAAAAAAAAAAAAAAAAAAAACGCTGAAAATATTATCAGAAAATGCCAATCATGAGCTAACTTATAGTCAGCGTCATAATAACAACTGACAAAAGTTATCCCATGGTTGGCAGTCAATGTGTTAAAACATGAATAAATGGTATGTATGGTACATGCAGGGTTCAAATGACAACATTCAGAATTATTTTGAAATAACATCAATAGAAAATGCTAGAAACAAATAGGGGGGGGGACAGAACCAGCCCAATATGGCATACATGAGGTACCTAAAAATTGATTTTAAAATCAAATTTTCCTTGCATTTTTTTGGTATATAACAAAGTGGATTATAAACTAATATTTCAAATCTTTAAACTATATTTGTAGAGTAATAATTATTTCTATACATTTAAACCAACCAATACCATTTCTATGATAATTAATGAGTTATTTTAATTTTAATAGTTTTATTTATTCCTTTTATGCTTGTCTAATAGAAATGGGTTATTACAAATAAATATATATATATATATATATATATATATATATATATATATATATATATATATATATATATATATATATATAAAATACATACATACTGCATGGTTTTCTTTCTCTCTTAAATTAACTATAAAACAATTACATATTTTATTGGATGCATTCTAGTTTTATTATAATTTGTATGTTAAACTAGCAAATTTAATTTGGAAATATTAGTCACACATAGTAACAGCTATACTTAGAGAGGTTTAAGGAAACTACTTGATTAATATTTTATGGAAATTATTCAAAATGCCACATGAATATTAAAAAATACAGCATAATGAGTTTACAAAATTTTAGCTTTTCTAAAAGTGAAACTAAGTCAAGACAATACGTATTTACGTATTGAAAT